CCCTTTCATGCAGGGACCCTCAGCTCCATCCAGGCTGGTCTGACCTTTCTGTCAGATCTGGGCTCATTCCCATGTCCCCTCCTCCAGGACTTCCAGGAGCCACTCCGTGGCAGCCGCCCCCCACTACCCCCACCCTCAAAGGCCCTCCCTCTTCTGAAGCTTAAAGCTCAGGGTATCACCTATCTGACAAATGAGTATGGTGAGTTCTCTCTGCTGTGCAGGGACCTGCTCCCCAGCGTGGCCAGGAACTTCATGAAGGTAGAGATTAGACCTTTCTCGTAACTCTGCACTGATCCTTGGACCATCTGCCCAGTTGAGAGACCACCACAGGGCCCAGGGCTCAGGCCTTTCAGCAGAAGCCCCAACGCTCTGTCACCCCGTTTTCTCAGCTCACCCACACCACAGCGCTTGCTGCCACATTTGCCAGCACCTGGGGCAGACACCATGTCCCTTCTGTCTGCAACTCCCAGCCTGCCTCTGGGATGACCCGTCACCCAACCAGCAAGCGGGTGTTGGGTTGCCCCCTCCCAGGATGAGCTGTGCCCACTTCCTCCTCCGCCTTCCATAGATGGGCAGATTTGTGCAGGAGCCTGATGTTGGGAAATGACCCCGTTTTGTGTTAAGAGCTTATAAGCTCTGTGTACACCAGGACCAGGGCAGATATAAACACTTGAGGCCTCTCTTCTCCAGCTAGATAAATTTCAGGCTTTCACTGCCACACTACACACGCACTGTTTAAAAAAGGTGTCAGCTGCAGCCCATGCTCTTGGCAGAAGGCAGCTCTCCCTCTCCCAGCTGAAGTCCTAGATTCTGGGCCACTGACACTCAGGCCAGTGGGTGGGAAGCCCAGAGAGCATCTCCTAAAGGGGCCGGCCTGGGACCCTCTGGTCTGTGGACAAAGGGGGACTGTCTGTGAGGAACAGATCCTGTAATGCTATGGAGACCCAGACATCCTTCAAAAGCCCTGGCTGACCTACACAGACGTGTTCTTTTAGTTTAAGCTTTAGGTCCCGTGAAAATAAGAATGCTACTCCCTTCACCCTTAATAGGGCGATATTTTAAATTTTATTTATCATTTGTTATTCATTTATTCATCTGACACTTACTGAGCACCTACTGTGTGCCAATGTGCCAGGCTTCAGACCGCCCACTCCAAGTTCCCTAAAATCCCACCATTAGTGCCAGTCCCATTCGTTTAAGGCTTTCACACCTAGATGTATATGTATTAGATACAGACAGACAGATGGTGTATACTATACATACAGCTCCTCATCCCTCACCGCCGAGTCATGTTTTAAATTTTATGCATCATTTCATTCAACCAACATCTATAGGGCACCTATGACATGCAGGCTACTCTCCTAGACACTGGACACAAACAAGACATAATCCAGGCCCTGGGGAGCTCCCCTCCATGTAACAGGGAGGTGACGAGAGGTGGCTTTGATGGGCCTCGAGAGCACGGAGGTGGACAGGCCAGTGTAGGCTGTGCAGGACGAGGGAGTCGTCAGGGAAGGGGGCCCCTTTCACAGCACAGCCCATAGGACCTGGGGCAAGCCCACGCCTCTCAGGGGGCTCCCCCTTCTCTTCTCCAAATGAGGAACTAGATCGGGGCTCTTGCGTCCTTGAATTTCATGGACCAATAAAATATCAAAACCTAACTGAGGGCGCCATACAGCTCACCAACAATTCTATTCCACTGAGTAAGAGACATTACAGAAAAAGAAAAACCAGGACAGCAGCTACCGCCTGTATCACCATTATTTCATGAGAAGAAGGACATTTTAACCCAAAAAGCAAGAAGGGCGTAGTCTCAGAATGAAGGCTGATCCTTCAAACTGGATTCATCATCCAAATAGAAAGCGTTGTCCTTGGGCTCACTTTGCCCAGTCCAGGTGACTAGATGACCCACAGACCCGCCCAAAGCCATGACTAAGTGGCCTAAACCCAGCCAGAGACACAGTCGGGCGACTTCTAAAGACGTCTCTGGGGGCACTGTTGGGGGCACTCAGTCCACAGTGCTTCCTGGGGCCCCTTTCCTCTCCCAACAGCTTCCCCTCACCCTGCAGCTGCTCCCCCCAAAAACAGTTCCTCTCCAGCTTTAGTCTGCAGCCCCCTAGCTTCAAGACCACGATGGCACAGATCACACCGGGCACTCATGTGCTCCGGCCCTAAGTAATCGGGGAGGCTGCTGTTCAGCGTGGTGGACACTGTCCTGCACTTCCCAGACCCTCTTGGAGCTGCCAGGAGTCTGCAGGCAGACGGTGTCCAGCCATGTTCACCCGGGCCTCAGCTGCAGAGAGCTGCCTCGTCCCAGGTCCTGCCCCTTCTCGGCAGCTGCCTATATCCAGTGACCCGTGTGGAAGTGTAAAGGCCTGGCCACCTCCGCCCTACACAGGGCAACTCTAACCAGCCATTCTAGCTCAGGCTGACCTGACCTGTAAGGCTGGCCAAGGCTGCTGTCGAACCATCCGCTCAACTTCCTCCTCCGCCGCCCACTCCCGCTTCTTTCCCTTCCCTTCCCCAGGCGCTGGTCCCAACGCGCTCCTTCATAAAAGCATTCTGCACTTCAAAGTCGGGCTCAGGGTCACCTCCCCACGGTATCCAACCCACGCCATCAGCTCAGCCCTTCCAGCCCAAACGGATGGGCAGCCTTTCCCTCCACTGCCTGGCAAAGGGACATTCCCATACCCCTCCTCCATGAGCAAACTGGAGTCCTGATGTGTCCCTAGGAGCTGAAGGAGCCTAGAATGTATTCTTCTCTTTTAACAAAGACTAGCCTTCAAAGCCATTGTCTAGCAATGGACTCAGCAGGTCAGCTCTGAGCACCAAGGCTGATCGGTAGCCCCTCTGTCCAGGGAGACCCCCACTCCCTCCTACAAGCACATAGCTGGAAAGTTGCAAGAGCACATGAGTTAAGGGGGAAACAAAACTCTTGGATCTAATAGCTTCAAAACATAATCCTCATGCACACAATGGAGGTGGCGGGACGATGGGGGAGCCGGAATGGCCCCTACTCTGGGCTTCTGTTACGGGTGACACACTCTCGGGTGTCCCAGCCTTGCACTCTGCTCACACCTGAAATTCAACAAAATCCAACTGCCTGGAGTAGGAGGGAAAAACGCAAAAATGGTTGCCTTGTGTTTATGACCTTAATTCTACATGTCCTACCTGCAAAACCCTGGCCAGGGAAGTATGAGCAAAACAAGCCCCAAAGTTGAGCGACTGCTGCTACTAACAGAGATCAAAGGCAGAGGCCCTTCGGCAAGAGACAGAGGTCCGAACAGAGGCTGGTGGCCTGCTCCAGAGAGGCCTGGCCAGGGCTGGAGCCAGCTGTGTCTGAAGCAAACTCTGGGAGGGCAGAAGGCCCAGAACCCCACAGTACACACACCCACGGGAGGAGTAGGGGCCTGGAAGCAGCCCCTCCCCAAGGAACCGGGCTGGATTCCCCGGGGACCACACACACACACACACACACACACACACACACACACACACACACTACTACGACCACGACGACGAC